GCACCGACAGCTGTGTGTGTTTTTTTGTGGATACAAAACTACACACAAAGTACACCACACGACCAGCTCGTGGCCCAACAATAATACTAATAATAATAATATATAACATTTGATTCATAATTTCATGAAAAGCAATGAATTTATATATATATTATTAATTTGATTCAAATCCCCCAAAAAGTTCATGTCCTTTTGCAACAACAAAAAAAATACTTTAATACATATAAATATTTTAAACACTTTGTTTGAATAGTACTGTACTGTACAGTGTATAGCAATGTCTGGTGTGTCCCTCACGACTCTTGCTTTACATTATATTTCATTGTATTTTCTAGGGTTTAGACAACAATCATCATCTGCCCGTCCATGTGTTTGGTTGGCACCACTCTCTCTCTCTCTCTCTCTCTCTCTCTCTCTCTCTCTCTCACACACACACACACACACACACACCACATGTCTATAGTGCTGGTGTTAATGGTTAGTACCACTAATTTCCAAAAATAAAAAATACCTGTGCTATCCAACAACTACAACAAAAATGTTGTGTTTGTTTGTTAGTTTCACATTTGATGTACCGTTAATATCAGGGTGTGATTAACAGCAATAATAATAATATTACTAATACAGGTACTAATAATAATAATAATAATAAGTTGTGGGTTAAGGGTGTATAAGTTTCAACAACAAAAATACAAAATTTTAGATTTTTTTTAAAAATTTTTGTTTGGTATTTATTTACTAATTTTATTTCAACCTGTAATTGTAGATCACGTGTAAAAACTTTTTTGTCGATCAAACCTTAAACGTGATCATAATTTTTATTTTTTATTTTTTTTAAAATCATGAAAAATATTTTAAAATAATCATGGTTATTATATATATATAGTATAAAAAAATAAAAATAATTTTTGCTAATATTACTTGTTTTAAATCTATGAATATAAATACATTTATTATTAACCTTTTATATACATATACTGTGCATTAATTTATCTGATAATATTACAAATCAACTCTTAAAAAGCTATTAATGTTCAGTACATTTACAACAACAACAATAAAAACAATACGCAAAAAAAAGATATTTAAAAATACCATCAATTGCTGCACCCACCTAATTGTTTGACATCCACCCACACCTCCTCCACATAATTATATTTATTATGCAATATTTTTGTGGCTACTCCTTGTCATAGACTACTAATGAAACAATGAATTAGATTTGTTTTATTTATAGATACAGTGTATATATACAACAATGAAAAAAATACATTTTTAGTAATTTACAAATTGCTAAATGTATTTTATTTTAATTTTATTTTTTTCAGTTTATCAAATAGTAAAAAATAGTCATTGGCTTAATTAATCATATAATTCAATAATAATTGTTTTTAATTACAAAAATATTTAATAATAAAATAATTTACAATACAAATAGCTTGTGATTTAATAGATTTCTTATTCTAGTTTTTTAATTATATTATTAAAATACACGAAATTATAAATAACAAAAAAGTAAATTTATTTGTTAGTGATTAACAATTGAAATAATTAAATAGATATTTATAGTTTAATATTTAAGTTTTATTATTTCTAGTTATATAATAGCCAAGTACCGTTAATTAATTATATGTAATATTTAAAAAATTTCTAAAAAATTACACATAAGATATTTTTATTTATATATAACTTTTGATTTATTTATTATAAAACTGATAATTAATTTTTGATAATTTTGTTTAATCTCTAATTATAACTCCTCGAGTAATACTATACCGATAATCCTTAATCATAAATATTTTTATTTTAATAATACTTTATTAATTTTTATGTATCTAAAAAAACATAAATATTAGTTAACTTAAAATAAATGTTGCAATTTAGTAAATTTTATATTTAAATATGATTTTTATTTTTATTTTAAATCCCCAATTATTTTTATAATCCACGTATGAAAACATTTCAATTTCAATGAGTTTAGTTTATAATAGTAGAAAAATATATTAATATTATGTATAATATGCTATCTTTTTGTGTGTGTGTGTTTTGTTTTGATAAATCAAGTATTTATTGTCAATCAGTTTTTTATTTATTTTTATATGTCATGTATTTTTTCTTATGATCGAAACATAAATAACTTACAATAGTATTATCTATTATTATCTAATGTCAATTTAAAATATATATTAAAATATATTTTTCTCTTTATTTATATAAAAAATATCCATTGATTTATTTATTCAAATAATAAAGAGAGAGAGAGAGAGAGAGAGAGAGAGAGAGAAATCGGCTCTTATTTATTAAGTTTACATTTATGTAATATAATCTTAATGTATGAAAAAATATTTAACAAAAAAAACCAGTGAAACACCCACACAATATCTCCAATCGATTCAAAAAAATTTTTTATTAATTCTATCTACTATTTAATGAATTAAACTACAGTAGAGCTAAACTATTACAACAAAAGTACTGTTTTTCATTACATTAGTGGCGGAACCTACCTTTAAGGTATATATTGTATATAAAGTACAATATAATACTATTGGTTTGGTTAGATTGAATTGGATTTTTACATCAAAAATTGATATCTATTTTTAGCAGCAATTTTAACAAAACTCGTGTCTATCACTATCTCTCTCTCTTTCTCTCTCTCTCTCTCTCTCTCTCTCTCTCTCTCTCAAACACAAACACATACTCACTAAATATTTTTCAGTGAATTTTAATATTATTTTTCATTTTTCCATATATATCCACAGGTTATGTAATTTATTAAAAGTTAAGTATTTATCAAATATATATAATTTATATATTAAGCAAATTTAAAAAATCAACATTAATAATTATACAAAATTTATAATTACATATTATTACAAAAAATGAACAAATATAATTTGTTAATTTATTTTCATATATTATAATAAATACAACACAATATTTCGTAATTTTCTATAAATATTTTGCATCAAACAAAAAATCAATATATTTATGGGTTTAGTAATTTTAGTGAACTATTATTTATATTATAAAAATATTGTCTTTTATGTGCTTTTTAATACATAAATTTTATATGTATTTTTCTATTAGGCAATTACGCCTCCATGCGAACAGGTATCAAAAAAAGGTAATAGAAATTGTTTGTTTGTTTATTTATTTATATAACTACTATTTATATAATATATGTTTATTGATTTTAGTAGATAAAGTCAAGAATATAATTAGAAATCTTAGAGAATATTCTGTAGATTTGATATTTACTACTATATATATATCCATTATATATATATATATATTTCTAAATGAATTTATTTTTTTTTAAATTATATATTTATTTGACTGTATTTTATTGTAAACAATATACAGTTTATGTGTTGTGTGTGTGTGTTATAATTATTTTAATTTTCAATATTATCAGATTATTCATATAATGAGTGTATTTAGTAAAACTTATTGTTTGCTTAGGTATGAGAGTGATATACATATGTTTAAATCACTTGTCTGTGAACAATATTAATGACAGCAACAGATACTCTAGATATACCTAAAATTACTATAATGTGTTAATGTTGTTGTTGTTGTTGTTGTTGTTGTTGTTGTTGTTGGTGATCTTGTATTTACCTACATGTGCCAAACACATACACATAGATCGGTGATGTCATGTTTGGAGTCAACTCAAATCCAACTAACATTTGATTCATTCATTAACATTAATTCAATACTTGTTGAATATAATATACTTATATATATTATAAATAAAAAGATTTAAAACAATTAAATAATAAAAATAATAGTATTTTTATTTTATTAAAGTTTTTTATATGAATCTATTAAAATTTATTATCTTTTTAAAAATACTAATCTCAGACTTATTTTGTTGTTTTTGTTATAAATGTATTAATAGTGTAGTATATACTGTACTTTGTATGTAATAAAAAATAAATTCTTTAATTTCAACATCAAAGCCTCAAAATATTATTAAGTAATGCTTTTAAAGTGAATTTTGTTAATAAAAGCTTATTTAACTTAACTTTTGTGATATTAACATTGAAATTAGTAAATGACATTACATTGACTTTTTAATACCGAAGTGTATATAGAAATTATATTAATATAAATATATATAAGTATATATTGTTATCAACCGTTAGATGGATTTTTATATGGATTTATATAAGAAGTAAATAAGATGATAGACAGACACAGATTGTAAATACATTACACACAAGAATATTCTGTATATATTTTATATATATATATATATATATATATATTTATATATATTTATTTAGTACGTATAGATTCACTAAATATTCTGCACCTGTATGAATGTACATCTAATATAAAAGTATATATATATAAAAATATAGGTATATCTGTTTTATTTCTATGTATGCGTAATAGACAAATACACTGTCGCTTTATCTCTGTCTATCTAACACACACATACATCTAACCTACAGTATAATAGTGTATCACATTTTCACTCATCTCTCTCTCTCTCTCTCTCTCTCTCTCTCTCTCTCTTATATATATATGTTATATAAAATTAGTTTTATTGTCAAACCTGAGTGGTCTGAGAGTGAGTGAAGTGAGTTAGCGATGGTGTGTATGTGTGTGTGTGAGTGAGTAAGTGAGAGAGAGATTAGGAGAGTTATGTAATTCACACTTATTATAACAGAATATTCTGTAATAAAAAAATAATAATAATAATAATAATGAAAACGTTATTATTTTTTCCATAGCTATTTTGGTCGTACAATAAGTCAATGTTATAATACGTTTCTCATATTACTTGAGTTGTTTTATGAGTAATTTCTTAGTTGACAATCATTTGAAAATCAATTGGATATGAAAATATTAAGTGATTTCCTAATATATATATACAGTATATATTATTATATATAATAAAGTGTTTTTAGTTTTATCACATTATATTAACTGTACTGTATATATATTTGTGTTAAAGCATTGGCAAAATAATAATAATAATAATAAAAATGATGAACACTCGGATCAAAGATATATTTCAATTTAGCAAACAAAGAGACTTAAGGACTAATGATAGACGACTGGCCTTACAAAGACAGCACAAGTGTCTGGAGCGCACACATAGTAATCCAGTTCCCAATGATCATCGGCCCAAAAAGTGTGAATGTATGTATTATTTACTATATATTCTATGTATTTAGTGTATCGTATAAACTCTTTATAAGTTATATACTGTCAACCAGTATATACAGTACAGTATAATGCTGTATAAACTAATGTATTTAATTTTATACAATACCTTTTACATTGAGCTCATGTTTGACACGATTGTATTTACTTTATTTGTTATTGTGATGTATTGATTTTATAATTGAATTAATTACAAGCACTAAATACAGTAAAGTAATGTATATAATTTATATACAGTTTTATAGTTTACAAATTTTATATCGTATAGATTTATTTTTTTAAAAAATTATTTTATGTAAAGTATGTTAAACTTAACAGTTATTTGTTGATTGATTACTCGCTATAATGGATTTACATTATATCAGTAATATTTAAGTTAAAATAATTATAATTACATTTTTATTCAATAAATATTAATAAATTTTAGATAAGTTAAATTTTTAGTACAAACAATTCAGAATATTAATATTAATCTAATAATTGATTTACGTTTACATAATTAATAAATATAGTAATTAAATAAAATTAAATTTTTTATGTAAAATTTAATAGATGTAATACAATACTATACTAAATTATTTTGTTTTTTAATTAATTAATTTTTAATAATAAACAAACAACTTTAATATACTATACTTTAGCATAAAAATAATTGTTAAATTTTTTTTATTATATTCAGTAAAATCTATTGTATACTTAAGTTATTTTCAAATATTTATTAGGATTCAAATGTATGATAGATAAAAATATTTTTTATTTTTATAATATAACAAATAATAATATCAAAATACAATTTTTCAATTTTACTCTAAAAATGAAAAAACAAATTTTTAAATCAAATTCAATAAAATAATAAATTGTTTTATCAATAAAATTTAATATTATCAATAAATCTATAATATAGATTCTATATATATATTATGAAAAACTTATATAAATTTATTTTTTTTATATTTTGAAAATTAAATCAATTTAGTTCAATATTTGAATTTATTGTAAACATAAATTGATGTTTAATGTTATTATTATAACATTTTTAACGATATTAAATGTTTTTACAGATTTTAAAAATTTATTTTTACATTACAAAATACAATATCAAAACTATATTTTGCATTAACTATCTATAAGCTACAATAAATATTATATTAAAAATTTATAAACAAAAATAATATCTTATTGTATTGTTACTTTAATATTATAGTATATTAAATAGTGTACACTATTATCATTATTATTATTAATAGTGTTATAATAAATATTTAAACATTTATACTCGTATTAAACAATTCAATAAAATAATTGAATTTATTTCTAAATTACAGTATTTCTTTGAATTGAGTCATTTAGTTATTGTTATCAAAAGAGTCTATTGTTAACAAACGAAAAATAATAGTCTATACTATTATATAATACAATATACCGGTAATAAAGCACCGGATATTATGCCACTGGAAACTAATTTCCGATTTAAAATTGTTAGAAATTATTTATTTTTTTTATAGAAGCAATATATACAATATATTTTTGCTTTTAATAACAGTGTTTTGATAACATTTTTTTGTATCTGTGTAAATAATTAGTGAATTTCTATTAAGTAAAATATAAAAATTTGTTTGTATAAAATTTAGGATATTTGTCAATTGAGTTAATATTTTATATTGTTTATATTGTTATTGTATAGTATATACATTATAAATATTGTAATTCAATGTACTGCATATATGCATATTTATAAAGTCAACAAAACATTGTTAAACAAAAATATTTACTAAAAATGAAAATAGTTTACATAAATCTTGTCATTTATGTAAATATAAGTTATACTATAAAATATTTTCTTTATATAAAAAAAATTAAATGAAATAGTTTCTAATTATTATATAATATAATTCTAAAAGTTTTCCAATTAAATTATAGTTAATTTTTTGAAAAATTTGACAGTTTTAAAATGTTAAATATTTTATTGCAATTTAATTTTTATTTTAAAGTTATGTCATCTAAATTATTAAATAAAATTTGAATAATTATCAAATAGCAGCTCAATTTATTTATAATAATTTTTTAAAAATATGACATATGACAATGTTTAAAAATTTATTAATAATAATTATAGTAACAAATGTCACAAATTAAATTCATTGTTCAAAATTATTATGAATATATTAATAAACTTAATACTGAAAGTTATACATTTATTTTTACTATTATAGTAAGTAAATGTAAAAATATTTATATAAAAAACATGATTCATATAAAAGTTTACTATTTTTTTGTGATTGACATCAAGGAAAATAATTTATTAGCTTTATTTACACTAGAAATTATTTAAATAGATACAATTAAAATATAATTTATACTAAATATTATGGTTTTTAACTACATTAACTACATATTTAAACTAAAAAAAATTTGTTATATTGTAATACCGTATTTTAGTTTAAAAAATATAGTCAAATATTAATATTTACCTATTTTATTAATTCATGACATTTGACATTTACATAGATTTTTATTTTATAAAAATAAGATTAGAAATTAATTATTTACATAATAAAAGTCATAAAAATCTGTGATTTCTTAACATTTACATATATTTTAAGTGTATGTATGTATGTTTGTGTGTATGTATATATGTGTGTGTATGTATGTATGTGTGTGTATGTATGTGTGTGTATGTATGTGTGTTTGTTTGTGTGTGTGTTTGTGTGTATGTGTGTGTGTTTCTGTGTTTCTGTGTGTATGTTTGTGTGTGTGTTTGTGTGTGTGTTTGTGTGTGTGTTTGTGTGTGTATGTTTGTGTGTGTGTTTGTGTGTATGTGTGTGTGTATTTCTGTGTTTGTGTGTGTATGTTTGTGTGTGTGTTTGTGTGTGTGTGTTTGTGTGTGTATGTTTGTGTGTGTTTGTGTGTATGTGTGTGTGTATTTCTGTGTTTGTGTGTGTATGTTTGTGTGTGTGTTTCTGTGTGTGTTTGTGTGTGTGTTTGTGTGTGTATGTTTGTGTGTGTATGTTTGTGTGTGTGTTTGTGTGTGTGTTTGTGTGTGTGTTTGTGTGTGTATGTTTGTGTGTGTTTGTGTGTGTATGTTTGTGTGTGTTTGTGTGTGTATGTTTGTGTGTGTGTTTGTGTGTATGTATGTTTTTGTGTGTGTGTGTGTGTGTGTGTGTTTGTGTGTGTGTTTGTGTGTTTGTGTTTGTATAGTTATACACAAATATATAATTTATTACTAATTAACTTGAATTTATTAGTTAGGAGGACATCATCTGAAGGAAACCGGATTACTGTACCAACGATTAGCATAACTGGTCCGCGATTTGAAAGCTGTACCGACTCGGAGAGCAGTTCCTCCCGTTTCGGTGTCTTAGACGACGATGTTTTCTGTTGTGCTATCAATACGAAAGACCGTTCGGCTAATTATCTCGAAAAAAATCTATTGAATACAACTCTACTGAAAGAGACGTTCAATAATCAACAGTCAGAGCTCCAGCACATCAACAATCAGACTACCAGTCCATTAGAGTCGCACGATATGAGACGGCTATTGAAGATTAAGATTGAAAAGTGTATTATCTGTGAACAGGCCGTCTATTTTTGGGGAATTCAATGCCTTAAAGTTTGTACAATTATTGAGACAATAATTTTTTCTGCTATTTATAATAATAAATTTAAAAATTTGATTAATATAAAAATATAGTTATTTATTTAATTATTTTTTTTAGTTATTTTATTTATTTATAATATATAACTATTATTCTAAATTTTTTGAATTTTTAAAATAATTTAATTAAATTTTGATTAAATGAAATGAAATAAAAAAAAGTTTAATAATCTAATATTAGAAAGTATTATAATAGCATTTTTAAAAACCGTATTTAATATAATAGTAAATACATGAGAATTTATAATATAAAAACATGTTTTTGAACAAAAAAAATATATATAAAAAACAAAAATTCTAAAAATACTTGCAATAAATAGACACAAAAAAACTAAATATTTTAATTTTAAATTTATTATAAACTAGATATTTTTGAAAAATATTTTTTAATATTTAGTATAGTATAAGTTAAAAAGCATTTTAGATTTAATATATTCATAAAAAATAAGTACATTTCTTTGAAATATGAATTTATTTTATATATATATCTTTATATAGACTTTTTTTATTTGGAGTAATATTACAAACTCGAAAATATATAACTTATGTTAACTTAATATTTAGTTTTAAATGTCAATTTGCTTTAAATATAATCAGATATTTTTATAAAGAAAAGTTATTATCATTATTAAACAAAATTCAATTTTCATATTTTTTTAAAATTGACAAATATTTTATTAGTTTTCTAAATTAAAAATATTTTTAGACAATGATAATAATAATAATAGTAATAATAATAATAATAATAATACAGTAAAACAAAACAAATAAACAATTTATGTTAGGAAATAATAACAAAAATAAAATCCTATAAATGTTTTTCAATTATGTTTGCCTACATTTCCTTTCCATAAATATATCAGTGTAAACATACACTTAAAATAAAAATAAAAATTTAACATATCATGTATTTTAATGGTTGATTAACTATAATTTATATTCAACATTGAAGAGTATCATTGAACACATATATCATCCTCGAGTTAGAAATGTTGTAAAAATGAGTTTCAATTTTATTTATTTATTTTTTTTTGTTAACAAAATAATCATGTACTTTGAAATATATATATATATTAAAAATATTTGAATAATAATAATAATAATGATAATAATACTGATATTATAATATTGTATTATAAACAATATTATGAATGGTTTTAAAATTCATGATAATAATTCTCTCTCTCTCTCTCTCTCTCTCTCTTATATATATATAGTAATGTGTTTTATATTTTTAGACAAATTAGTTATACGGACGACAAAACATGTCAAATGCATGCAATCAGTTTTGTTTTAGTTTACTTATTATTAATATTATAATTTTCTGTTTTACATAAAACTTATAATAATAATAATAAATACATGTCATTAAATAAATAGTTAAAAAACTTTTTCACTAAATGTTTCACATATATTATCGTCTATATATATATATATATATATAATATTGTTATTTATCAATTTACTGTACCGTATATAAACTATACTTGTATATATTTACTTAGATTTACTGAATAATTGTTATTATGTGTATATATCACATACAGTATAATCTTTAATAATAAAACATAATTTAAGTGCACATTATGTATAATTTAGAAATATTAAGATTATATTTTATGTAATAAATACATAGACTGTATTTTTTTTGTTACTATTATTTAATCTAAATTTTCAGAGATTACACATGAAAATAGATTTAAATTATTTTAGATTTTTTGTTTTGCAATACTAAAGTAAATTTAATTATAATAATATTTATTATAATCTTTTAGTAGGTTACTATAAGTTAGAGTTTATATAATAACAACAAAATAATAATAATATAGACTATAACTGATACAGTAGTACTGTACATTATTATTATTAATATTTATGACTAAATAGTTTATTTGAAAATATCTATAAAAAATATATATATATTAGGTTAGTCTAATAAATATAATATTAAGTTTTACTCAATATTTTTTTATATATGGAAATATATTTATGTATTGATATATAATCTTATTTAGTATACAGTATATAATCTAAATAGTAATATAATAATTACAATTTTATTTTTAGCAAACTTAAGGACTAAGAGATTACTATTTCGTGTAGTAATAAAATAAACAACAAAATTAAATCACAAAAACCTTTTAGCGTTATAATTGTAAATAATTTAAATGTCGTTTTCTTAAGTGTCAACAGTTTGGATACAGTTTTTTTATTATTATTATTTTTTATTCACTATACACTAAATACACAGTAAAACCAGTATATATATATATCAAACGGTACTCTCAAGTTAATAGACTTAGCGATCAAAATATTTGTGTTAAAATAAATTGTTTATCTCATACTTTCCATTGGAGCACTTGGAGACCCATTTATTTAGCAATAGTTAGTTTTTTTGCTTACAGAAAAAAATCCTTAAAAAAAGTTATTTTAATAATGTGTTTTATTTTTAGTCTACTACTATATACTGTATACTAATTTTGTTATTATTATTATTACTATCATTGTCCGATATTTTATGAAAATCATTTAAGTTAAAATTAACGGCAACATTGACTTTAATACCCGGTACTTATGTGATATCAGGTGATAATTCACTATACAGTATATATATATATATATATATTGGTATTTATTTTTAAGGACAATCTATTGTTAAATATTTGTATAACAAATTTACTCTATACTAAATTTGCAAATTAATTTTCAAGCTAAATAAATTGGATCATTATTTTTTTATTATAATTATATCCATGTAAATTTACTAATTAAAATAGTTTAGTATACTTAAGTATTTTTTATTATTATTTTGTCAACTTTAGCATTTCTTTAGTATTTAATTAAATTTTTATTTTATTTTTTAAACATAATAATAAAATAATTTTATATAAATTTATTGTTTTGTTTTTTTAGTAGTACAAAATTAAAATATCAACTACCATTATATAAATAATATGTTATTGTATTGCATTGTATCGTATTATTACTACAATTATTATTTTTATTATATAGTTGACAACTAAATTAATTAATTTTATATTTTATAATTATATAGCATATGGCACTATATATATACAGACTCTGAAATAATTGAAATAATAATAATCATTATAATTATAAAATATTCATAATGTCTAACATTAAGTCTCTTTAATTATAATAATTATTACAACTCATCACTTGTTTATAGGGATTAGTTTTTTTAAATATATGTTATTAACTATTGTACTAAACATACACTTAAATTGAAATAGTAATTTACTTTAATAGTAGTAGTAGTAATAATAATATATAACAAGCAATAAAATACAGTTTAAAAATTTAATTCATTTTTTATAACATTTAAATAATTAATTGATTTAGTAATTATAATGAAAATAAATTATTATTATATATTTTGTTTAAAGTGTGGTCTTGTAGGTCACCGAAAGTGTATGCGATGTCTGGTCATCCGGTGTCCACCTAAAGGTAGTCTACCGACTAAAGTGCCGTTGTTTGGCATCAATCTGGACGAGTGTGTGGGTGTACCACAAGTAATGCATACCTGTATTAGTGAACTGGAGAGACGGCCGTTCAGTAAATTAAAAGGCATTTACCGATCAAATGGTAACAGCAGTCGTGTGGCACAGATATGCGCCAGTTTTCAGTGCGGACCACAGCTTATTGATCTCAGATATAGTAGTTATAACGACATCACAGATGTGCTCAAAATTTATTTGAATAAAGTATGTCCTCATAAGCTAACTATCTGTTTATGTGACTATAAATTTTATATACAATACATCTATTCTATAATATTATACAATATATACAATATTTATATATAAATTTATAAACTGGTCTCAACTAATAATTTTCACATACAATAGGATAGTCTATATGTTTGAACAGAACCAGGAATTGGATGCAAAAGTAAACAGAGTTTACAAAATACACAATATTTTTCTCTCTCTATATMTCTCTCTCTCTCTCTCTCTCACTCACTCACTCACTCACTCACTCACTCACTCACTCTCACTTTAATTTAATTCACTGACAATATATCAGTAATATATATATATAAATCCTAACACAAAATATATAAAGTATATAATGCATGTATTCATAATTTAACAAAAAAGTATATTTTGTTTTATGATTTTCACACAAAATAAATGATATTTTAGTTGTCATATTTTATACATAAATTTATATATATATATAAATCACTCCATTCTTTATTAATATACATATATTTTCTAACATCGAGTTTAACTATACAAACATATATCATATTTATTTAAATATTATGTCTAAATCTATTGTACATTAATATTGACTTAATATTTGATGTTTATATATATTTATTTATATGTGTCTATCATTTTCTGTTAATATCTCCCTGTGCTTTAGCTGCCAAAACCACTGGTGCCCCCGGAGCTACAGTTAGAGCTAATACGTATAGCCAAGGAGTGGCCCCAAAGGAAGGTTCCCTATACTAAGTCCGGTGTCATAATCATAATATTTGAATTGAGAGAAGTGGTCAACCAATTGCCGTCAAACCATTTCATTGTCTTATCATATTTGATGCATCACTTGAAGAGATTAACATTGCATAAGAGGGAAGTGGAGATCAACGAGTCGACACTTGCCGTACAGTTTATATCAGTCGTATTCAAACAAACGTATTGCATCTAAATATATATATATTTATATATAAATATGATATTATTATTTATAATATTATTAAAAATAGAAAATTACAGAATTTTTTTTTAAAAATTATAAAAATATGTGTTAAATAGAAATAAATTTGCTGATAATAAGTCATATTTTTTCAATTAATATAAGTAACATATTAGAGAATATTTTGGTTATTAATTTTTGTGTTGCAAATAATCATAACTTACTGTACAATATATATCTATATATAATATGAAATGAAATAATAGTATAGAAATTAATATGTCTAGCAACTAGAAAAAAAATAATTAATTGCAATATTAAATTACATATTAAATTATCTTAAGGCTTTTTTTATTTGATGTTATATTATAATTATGTATTTTTTATATAATAAAATAATAAAACAATATGACGTCAAAAAATATAATATAATTGACATAACATAAAACATAATAGCATTTTACTAGTACTACCACCTAAACACATCACATGTTGCAAAAAAAATATATTGATATACAGTATTATATAATATAACATAATACTAATACTGTATATAACTTATTATATTATATAAATTACATCACATATTACAGAATTTGCTTTTAATATTGTATAAAAACCCTATTTATATAATATAATTGATTGACTTTAATATTATTAATGAATATTCTGGTGTTTAGGGAGTCGTCAAACATAGACACGACGTTTACTTCGGTACAGAAGATCCGGTCGATGGAGTTAATGATCACAAACGCTACCGAAGTGTTTGGTCCGCAGCCGAGCGTCAGATTGCAATTGTCGGGAAAATTTAGCCTTAAATAGAAAATAATAAAATAATGTCAAAATAAAACCAAAAAACAAAACAAAACTACTAAAACAATAACAACAACAAAATATTACAGATATATATTAATATAAATAAAACTAAACAAAAACTAAACAAAAAACATTGATTAATGAATGATAAGCTTCTTATATATATATAAATATATTTTTCCCGGGCATACAAATAATACTCTAAATACAGTATTTGGACAAAACATTTTCATTAATACTATTACAGTACTATACTGTAGATTCTGTAGAGTAATGTATATATATTTTATAGAAAACAAAAAAAATATTAATAATAATATGACATATATGTAATATTTCCAAATAAAATAGATAATAACTATCAAATATTTATATAAATAAAATAATATATTTTTTGATACATTAGTATGCTATTATTAGTTTTTAAGATAATTGAAAAGTTTTTTTTTCTGGAAAAATACAAGAAAATTTATTTAAATATTCTCAATAATTTTTTTATCTAAAAAAGAGTCCCAATTATAATCTATGACTTCCTATTAAATATTCAAATATTGTATTATAATAAATTTTTGTAATACTATATAAGTTTTTACTAAATTTTATTTATAGCCACAATTTTGGATCAAAATAATATCAAAATTTATTTTTGGAAAAAAGGTTATCAATTTTGCTTTATATCAATTTTTTATCAATTTACAAAAATGTATCATTAAATTGTTAAACAACTTCTTATTTTAAACCTTTATTGTTTGTAATAAATTTAATATATCGTATATACAATAATTTATTTATTATATAAACATAGACTTATGTTACTAATTATTGACATGTTTGCTTGTAATATGTAAAAGTATTATTCATAATTGTATAATAATCTTAAATAACTATTTTTACCAATAATTTAATGCCATTTATCTTGATCAATTTGAATGAAACATTGAAAATATTATTATTGTTCATATATTAAAAAAACAAAAAATAATTTTACACTTAACATAATTTAAATTGTATAAAAATTTATTGATAAACAAAAATTTCTATCTATATATTTATCTGATAAATGAAAAAATATTACAATAATTGTTGATTAATTAAACAAATACCGTAATTTATATATTATATTTATATATTTTAAATAAATGATTTTCATTATTGATTTATAATAATAATAATAATAAACATATTTATTAACTATTAGTTTTAGTGCAAATCATAATAGTTTTATTTATAATAAGTAAATACTGTAATATCAATAAAAATTGATCAATTACTGGAATATACTGATTATACAATATAGCTATAACTAAACAAATTGTCTTATTTATTAAATAAATATTTATCATACATTTTCAATATAATTATTTATCTAAATATTTAATCTAGCTAATTTCAGTTTATTCAATCTCTCTCTCTCTCTCCCTCTTTAAAAATATTTACTTGATTGATAATTTTTTACAGATTATTAAATATAAATATATATATATATTGTATTTAAAACATTTATTTATATCTTAAACATTAAAAAACAAACAAAAATCATTAACTTTTTAAGCTAACAAATTTAGTAAATTTGGCCAAATTATGATCAATATGTTTTAATTAATCAAAAAAAAAACATAATAAATTCAAATCTAATATTTTTAATGAATTTAAATTCATATCTATCACTATATAAATATAAATTAATCAACTTAAATAACTTTAATAAATTGGCTTTAAAATAGATTTTTATAAACTAATGGCAATTAATTTCATTAATAATTTATCATATAATGCACTGTTATTTCAATTTGTAATTATCAACCACTATATGTGATAATGTTTTTATATCATTAATTATTCTTATCATTAACCAAACTTAAAAATAGCTTATTTGACATCAAAAATCTATAATTTTAAATTTAAAACGTCATATTATTATATGAACAAATATTATTATTTAAAAATCATTATATTATACATTATTAATTACGGTAAGCAATTGATTTCTTAAAACAACAAAACAAATCTAATTATTTAATAAAAACTATTTGTTCATAGATGACAAAAATTGAGTGCATTATATATTTATAGTCATTATTTGTATAAAAAAAAATAAATTCATTTATCCCTATTAAATAATTTGTAACATTATAATAACAATAATTTAAATTTAAATAAAAACAAAATAATATATATATTTATAATTACAAAAAAATTAATGATTCTGACACTAATTAATGTTATATTTCAAAATAATAATTTTGTTGGCATAAAAGCAATTAATTTGCTTTAAATATTTTTTTGCGATACCGTATAAATTGAGATAAAAAAAATAATTTTTTTTTTAAGATTCAACTCAAACATTGAAAATCAATAAATAATCTCTGATTTGTTCAAAGGACGCGATGAATATTTGATTTCAAGTTTGTCTCCGATTTCGTCCATAACTTCCAGTGCTTTATCTAACATTTCCTTTGTATGTGAAGCCGACACACAAAAGCGCACCCGTCCGCTGGTCAACGATGTGGCCGGAAAACCGGCGCCGATAAAACCCAGACGTTTCTTGTATGCCAAACGGATGACAGCACTGTTTAATAATGATAAGAGAAAAAACAATTAAATTAGAAAATACAACAATAGACAATAATATACTACTATATTATCAATAAATACTGACAATTATTGCATAATAACAGTGAAATATATATCGCATACAAGTATCACAATTACAATAAATTGTAATATGATATTAAATTTATTATTATTGTATAGTACTGTATAATTAAGTTTTTATCGTCCATAAAACATTTACATTTTTATTTAATGTATAGTATTAAAAAAAATTCATCATAAAAAATCGATAATTATTTTCATTATTAATAATATTAAATAGTGTCTTCAGGTATCACACACTGATAAAATGTTGACAAATATTTATTTTTTTTTTAAATTGCAAAACAAAAAACTTACGGTATTTTAGGGCAAAAGCATAGCATGAGAGGAACGACAGGTGAATCGTTGTTACCATATATAATGAAACCCAATTGATTGAGCTTTTGGCGAAAATATTGTGTATTTCTTGCCAGTTGTTTGATCCGTTTTTCTCCTAAATATAATACAATAATTATAAGTAAAACATTTATAGCAAAACATATATATATATATAATAAAACATTTAATGATTGATAAATGTTTATATATAAATACAATATATACAATATTAACGGTACATAATGTCGTTATAACTATTTAAATATTAATATATACATACAATGTAGAAGTATAGTACTATATAAAGACATTGTCTCATAAATTTGATTTATTAAATGGATTTTCAATTTGATTGGCAAATAATAAACAGTCATTTTTCATGACATATAGTAATAACAAAAAAAATCTAAACGAAGTCTTTATTTTAAGAGCAACCTATTAGACAACAAAATTGTCAATTCGTGGTTAATATTTATTAAAGTAAAGAAGCGACTCTGGAATTGACACATAACTATTGAGGACACACCCGATAGCATGATATATATATATATATATATATATATATATAGACGACAATTAAATCAATTCTCTTTCTCTCTCTCTCTCTCTCTCTCTCTCTTGGATTAAGAGTAAACATTTAAAAGGTGTGTCTAATGACTTGACAGTAAAAAAAATAAAATTAGATAACTTTGTTATTGAGGTCAACCGTTATTACTTGCAATAAAATCAAACACATAAATAATATAAGCGATAGAATAGATAGATTTATATATAAAATATACTTTAGTAGACAATCTAAACACTAACCATCATCGGTGCCGTCTTCTCCCATTAAACACGACATCACTCCAGATATTTGTGTGGCGATCACTGGAGAAATGGCATTTGCATAACAGTCGCCATAGGAATGAGTTCTAATGTAATCGATGGCTGATTTTTTGCCGGCAATATAACCGCCGGCGGCACCAAAACTCTTGGTAAATGTTCCCATAAGTAAGTCAATGTCGTTGGGATCACAACCGTAGTAATCACAGACACCCTTTCCATTTGGTCCGATAGCACCGATACTATGAGCTTCGTCCAAATACACGTAACAGTTATACTTCTTTTTGATCCGGATCAGTTCAGGCAGATCAACAATAGAGCCCTCCATCGAATAGATACCCTCTGTAAGAATCAGTATGCGTTTCCAGGGCCGGTGAGTTCGGGGCTGACCAGCAACTATATATCCGCGTATTTTGCGCTCTAAGTCAGCCATATCTGAGATAAAAAAAATGTCATTAAAATTAAAACTTAAAATACAATTTGATGGGAACTAACTATTGTGACGGAAAGTACGGACGGTTGAACCGGTAAGCCGTGCGCCCAATATAATGGATGCGTGATTTAGTTCATCACTTAATATCAGTGATCCCTTTCCCGCTATCGTCTGTATGTTCGTTGCGTTTGTAGCGAAACCCATACCAAATATCACACAGTCTTCGACACCCAAATAGCGGGCCGTTTGCTCTTCGAGTCGTTGAACAACATCAGTAGTTCCCAATTCCTGTCGAGTACTGCATTGGGCAACACCGTAGTGGTCGAGACATTCGCCAACTTTGCGATGAATTGGTCCACTGGTCTCTGCAAAGCCCAGATAGTTGTACGAACCCATATTGATGGCGGTTGTTGTGGTACCCGGATAGGTGAACGTCCAGTTATAGTTGTCAGTGTTTCGGTCAATGATGGTAATGGTAGAGCCGGGCACCGAACAGATGGGCTTATTCCACGAGTCGCATATACGGCGATAGATATTTCGGGTGTAGAAACTCTCGAAACTCTGGTAGAGTTTTACGTAGCCGTCGCGGTTGGATTCGACGGCCGCCGGATTACGTTCGAGACCCGATTGGCGAAGAAAATCGCGTAAATATCCGAACATTATGAGCACAACATACGAGAAATAGCAGAGTAAGACTATATGAAAGGGCGCGTCTTCGTTAATGTGTCGGCCCTTAGAGTTGACTGTCCGACCCTTATCGCCGATCGACACTTTGTCGGCGATGGATGCCGTCGATTGTTGTTGTGACCTAATTGCTGTGCCAGACGACAAATGATAACCGTTAGTCAAATGTTGACCATTGGCGATGACGGCGGCCTTCGGTTTGTTGTCCAAACCGGTATCCATTGTTGTGGTCATTGTTGTAGTAGTTGTTGGCCACGACAAAGACGACGTACCGTTGCGGTGATCCGTCTCTTGTCTCATGACTTAGTGGTGATGATGTCCGATGTGTTTGTCCGTCCAATTGGTCAGTCGGTCGGTCAGATGGTCGATGTCTATAGTCATACACAGAGTAGTGGCCACTGATGTCTCTCTCTCTCTCTGTCTCTGTGTTTGTATGTCTTGACTGCAGTAAACCAGTTGTCAATACAAACAATGATTGCATAAAATAATTATAAAAATGAGATCCAAAATAAACAACAAAAATAACAATCAATTCAATGAATAATTATTTACTGAATCACTGTTTCATTGAATCAATTGAATGAAAAAAATGTAATGAAATGAATGACTAAAAGAAATAATAATAAAAAATAATGCATTCATTCAATGCTTGTTTCAAATGATTGTATCGTTGCGTACGTCACGTGACCTCATATGTCATCATAACATCATTGCCAATGAGTTTGTCTGTTATAGTGCCGCGACTTAGACAGTGTGTGTGTAGACGTAAGTGTAGTATCTTTTTATTCAATAAGAAAACCAAACCGAAAAAATCTAAGTCTACTGTAAATAATTAAAAAATATTTAATTTATTTATGTTAATAAAAACTAAAATTTTCTATATGCATATTTGTGTATTTTTAGTGGATTTATTTTATTTTTTTGAAAAAAGTTAAATAACAGAAAAATTAGTTTTTAAAACTCAAAAAAAATCGTATACTTTGGAACCGAAACCGTTCACCCGATTGTTCAGTACTCTAATAGAGATCATATAATTTATAATATCATATAATAATCAGTGTATTTGATATCTAGTGTAGAATTATTGCAATATTGTAGTGAAAAATAGTGTCAAACAAATAAACCGTTTTTTTATTTTATTTTATTTGAGATTAATTAAGTAAATAAAGTTATATTACAAACAAAATATGAAAACCTATAAAAAAATATGAAAATCATATTTTGGAAACAATTTTACCATGATCAATATTTGTAAAAAATTCTAATACATCAATTTATTTTCAAATAATTATTGCATTAAAATATGATTATTATTATACCAATAATTAAAACTATTAATAAATAAATATTTTATGTTTTGTTATTTTTTAATAAACGAATTTTTTTTACTTAATTTACAATAATTGTAAAAAAATGTTTAGCCTATTGAATGAAAATAATTAAATAAAATATTAATCATAAATAGATTTTATTTTTAAATTTTATAAAATATAAAAATAATAATAAAGTTGGTTTTTTATGTATAATAATAAATTTTATATAATGATATTATTAATATTTTATTTGAATAACTTAATTAATTATTTTTATAAAGTGACATCTATAGATTTAAAGATTTAATATTTTACTATTTTTTAATTATTAGTTTAATTTAACTGTAGTTAATGTAATGTTAAAATTTTATATAAGTAATAATAATAATAATAATTAACTAAATAATTTTTATAATGTACACTAGTTCCTATTATTTTATTAAAATATCATTAATATTATATGAGTCATTTAAGTATAAACATTAAATGCATATGTTAAATTTTTTAAATATTACACTAATTGTTTTAATTTAAATTAAACTTAGATAAATTGTGAATTTTTATCACTATGTTATTCATTTATAATATTTATTTTATTTTTTTAATTAATGATTAGTAACAATTTTGCATTTTTGATAAATACTGATTATTAAACATTATATATACACATAAATTTCTAACTAAAAGTACATAAATTTATTTTTCACTTAATCAATATGATAGTTGCTAAAGTAATATTTATGGTAAAAATATAAATTGCATATAATATAGTATATATAATACAATAAATTAAAATTTTAGACTTAGATAAAGTTAGTATTAAATTTATAATTAACAAGTGTTATGCATTTTTTGTAATGAAATCAATTATTTTAATTGTTTATATACCGTATTTGTTTTAATTTTTAAAATTAATTAAACAGTAATCAAAACATCCAATACAATATTCATCAGCACATAAATAATTGCTAAGTATTCAAATTTTGAAATATATATTTTGTATATAAATTATTTTTATAAAATATTATTGTAAGCAAAATTTATTATTTCAATAGATAATAAACCTTTACATTGTTTTTTATTAGTAATTTTCTAACCTAATAAAAATACATATAACATGTATATACCGTATAAAAACAATATTTGTATATAAGTTATAATTATTACAAATGTATATTTAGATTTAGAATCTAAATTTTAGATAGTATTGTAAAAAATAATAATAATATCTATTAGCATAATATTCAAAAATGTATAATACATTATAAAAAAATTAATATATAGTAAAAAAAATTTAATTAAAACTGTTAATATTTTATGTATTATTGAAATCATAATATAAGTAAATATAGGTAAATTTATTTGTAATATTTTACTTATTCATATTTAATAATATTATATTCAAAATATTAATTATCGTATATAATGTTTTATAATATACTTTAATTAAAACTAAAATTAAGTTAAATAATTAGTATTCAATTAATAATTATTAATATAAACATTACATAAATATGTAAATATTACAATTAATAAAATAATAAAAATAAGTACTCATAAGCTTAAACTATTAACTATTATTTGAAAATTTAATTATGTTTTAAGTAGAATTTTATTTTTAAATATTTAAAATATTAAAACTAACTCATAATGTATATATTAATGTTTTTATTAATAATTTTTTAAATTTAAAATACAGATATTTTTAAAATATAATTTTATTGGAAAACAAAAATGGAAAAAATTAAGAAACAAAAAATTAATGAAAAAACAATGACCACAACAATCGCGACCAGAGATTCATTTGATCGCTTCGGCGATGATTTGGCCGAACTATTGATGAGTTATCTTAATATTGAAGATAAACTCCGCAATCAATTGGTAGCCAAACAATGGCGAAGACTTGTGTTTAACAAACAAACAGATCTTATAATTGATAATAAACTCAATGATTGCTATAAACTGAAGACAATTGTCACGAAGTTTCCAAACATTACAAGAATCACATTCAGTTCGGTTATCACAGACAATCACTTGGATCTACTCATTAATTATTGTCTAAAACTAACACATTTTAACATTTACTTCAATTTATTAAATAATGAAATGTGGGATAAATTTTACCATACATTTGGTCCACAATTAGTTTCATTTGCAGCTTATAATAATAATATATGTAAAACGTTTTCTAGATATTTACAACAAAATGGTTCACAAATTGATTATAAATTAAAAATGTTTAAATGTTTTGATATTTCAATGCTATTCAATGATAATAATGAATGTGTTTTACCGAAAAAAATCAATACATTTGAAACATATTTAACTAATCGTTTAATACCATTGTTTGCTAAGTTTTCGGAACAATATCATCGAAATATTAGATCAATTAAATTAAAACTCGACGGAAATTTCGATTCTTCAACATTTAATTTACTAATCAATTCATTGTCACAAATGACTGAATTAAAACATTTTAGCTCTTATGGCGACAAAAGTACTGATCTATATATTTTTGATGGGATTACACAAATTAATTATATGTGTAAATTGATGGACAAATTGGCTGATAATTGCTACAAATTAAAGTCGTTTGAATATAATTTTGAAACATTCAATTTTAATGATGAAATGATGGAAATAATAGTACGAATGAAACAATTGAAACAATTAAAAATTGTTTACGGAAGTGATATATTTTTACATACTATAACTATAACGAGTAGTATATTAAAACCATTGAAACAATTAACACATTTAACAATACAAAAGTTTCGATCTTATGATTATGATTATGATCATTTCGACACTGTCTATTTTGGTGATGACTTTTTTGCTGATATTGACCAACACTTACCGAGATTGCAATATCTGGACATTGAATTTGTGGACATTACGAGTGACACACATAACTGTTTAATACAATTACCACATCTGAGAACTGTTAAGTATACAGCATATCGTATTGATGGCAATGATATATATTTTTCTAATTTAAGTGGAAATAAAGTGTTTTTTGATAATATTTATTATAATATATTTTTTGAGATTGATTGATGATCCAATTATAGTTTTGATAGTGATAATTAATTAAATTATCTAAATTAATATTAATTTATAAGCCAAACGTTTAAATAACAAAACAATTTATATTGAAGTTTATAATTTTATTGCAACTTATAATATTTTAGGAAACATTAATAAATAATTTTAAAAATTTTTGATATTATTATATTAATATTGGATCCCAGAATAGAGCTTAATAGCTTAATTTAAAAATACTAGGCTACTTTTATTATATATTGTATTATAAATTATTTTATCATGCTCTAAAATACTAATATTAATTAATTATTTGCTTACTGATTAGACAAAATTGTTTTCATTTAAATTTATCATTCAATTCATTCAATTTGTAATGAAAATTAAAACTAATTTTGATTTAAAAATATGATTTTGTAATCAATTGACTAAATGTAAAATTATTAATTTTAACATAAAATGATATTAATTAAAAAATTGCCATATTATATTATATGTGTATTATAAAAATAGTTTTTTTTAAATAAATAATTTTAAATAATCAATAATTAGTTGGGATTATCTATTTAATATAAACTATTATATAAACTAATTGATAATATTTTTGTTAATATTTACAAATAGTGTATTCATTATATTTTTATATTAGTATAATACAGTATTAATATATCAATAAATTTATTTTATTACATAATTTTTTTATAGTAAAATAAGATTTTAATCAATTGTAAATTAAAGTCATTAGAAAATATTTTGTGAAATGTAATGTTTGCTAATTACTGATATCGAGATAATGTTGGATACAATCGTACGGATGAAACAATTGAAACGATTGACAATTACTGATATCGACTATCATTTACTATTAACCAGTAGTTTATTACAACCATTGAAACAAAAACAAAAGACTTCCACTTCATTGGCAATAAGTATTTTGAAGACATTGACCAACACTTACCGCGACTCAAAAATCTTGACATTGATTTAGTAGACATTATTTTTTTTAACATAACTGTCATAACTGTTTAATACAATTACCACATCTAACTATTGTTGAATATTGATGGAAATCAAATAGAAAATACTCATCTAATAATTAGTGATAAAATTAAATTTATAAATTATAGCTAGTAATTAGTATATAAATATAATTTTGTATTAATTTGTTGTATTAATTAATAGTATATTTAAATTTTATGCATACATATCAAATAAGACAATTATTAAATGACAATTAAACAAATAAATATATTAATCTTAATTTATAATTTTATTAAATCTTAGGATAATAAATAATTTGATAGTTT